CCAACCGCCCTCTCCTCAATGACAGCGGCAGCAACAGACCCCGAGGGGCGGCGCCCGCCACCTTCCTCGAGTCGCCGCTGACGAAGAACGTCCGTGCCCCAGACTGTCATGTCACCATTGCATGACTTCGTGTCTGAAGACGCATAAGGATCATGACACGTAGATCCAGGAACGGGGCGATATTGGGTATGCCTGTCGCGTGCTCCTCTCATGGTTATTTCATATTATTGGCGTCTCGCTGCTGCTCGAGCGGCTGCTTCCGCTTGGTCAACGAACGAACGAACATGATCGGACGATCGTCGCTTAGTACCCTAGGCCAGAAGTCGACCGCGCGTCGGTTGTGTTTCCTGTCCGCGATGAGCACCGCGGTGCTCGCTGGCATCTCTCGCGCGCCCACGGCCGTTGAAACCCACCCTGCTGGAACAAGACGGTCGCCCTTTTATAAGTGGTCTCGCCCGCTAATTACTGCGATGCAGACGCTTGGCCATGCGAACAGCCCGTCTGGCGTCGTCGCGATCGCTTGCGAAGGATGGTCGACTTAAGTTCCTGCGATTCCGCGTCGCAATGGTCGTTTCTGCGTCGATTTTCCTCGTCGCTACGTCTCGGGGCAAGCGACGCCCCCCTCGCGGGCGATCGCGGGCGATCGCGCCCCCCGCCCCCTCGCGGGCCACGGGAAATGCCGCGGAAGAGCAGCCTGCGTCAGCGGGGGCGCCAGGAGGCCACGGCGCGCAACGTTGCCGTGGCCAGTCCGTGGGTTGGTCTCGCGGTCGCGGTTCCCAGGGCCACCCTCGCGGTTGCCCGTGGGACTGTTGCCCCGCCGCGGGCTGCCTGAGGGCGTCCTGCCCCGGCGGGTCGCGACCCCGCCGATCCCCTCGCCCTGCTTTCGAGAACCCTAGGGGGCGGCTCTGACAAGAGCTCTCGCTCCTTTGACTCGTCCTTCCATTTTTTGCGGGCCCATCTTGGGGCGCGGGGTGCGATCGAGATGCGCCGCGCTTGGTGCCGCGGCCGCTAGGCCCCCCCCTGACTGCCGGGTGCCTCGCCGAGACCCTGGCTTCGCATCAGGAGCGCCCGACTCTGCTATGTGCGCGAAGGCGCTTATCTCCCCGGTGCACTTGCCGTTTCTGTAGAAGATGCAGGCTTTCTTCTGCGGCTCCTTGCAGCCAGGTCTGTTGCGCCTGTCATCTTTGGCGCGCGCGCGACGAACCTTATCGAGGCCCTCGCCGGCGCCAGGTTGCCCCGCGACAAATGCATCCCCGCCGCCTTTCGCGGGGGGGGGGGGGGGCCGAGGGCATTTGTTACCGCGGGCTGAGCAGCCTCCCTGCAGGGCCCAGCCACCGCGAATGCTCGTGCTCGCGGCCACGGTGCTTTTTCCACCTGTTTCGGCTGACCATCTCCCTCCGGCAAATAGCACGTCTCTGGCGTTCGAGAAGTTTGCGGCATCTGTTGTGGAACCATTGGTCTGTCGCGTTCGGGTCGCCCCGCCCCGCGCGGCGGCGCGCGCCCGCGCCGGCGCCCATGCCCCGGCGGCGCTCAACTTGCGCCAGAAACAAGGCGTCGAGGATATTATCTACACAGGCCAATTTCATCCTGAAGATAGATTTGTTCCAATTTGCCGGGAACGCCATTAAATTGTCGTCGGTCATCATGACATAATTCAGCAAACAATCAAAGACGCACCCGTCGGCTTCGAGAAGCCGGTGCCGACCCAGAATGATGGAACACGCGCCGCCCCTCGACGCGGCAATGTCAGGCCTTGGCTTCTTCCTCGCGGGCGCTCACCCGTTGTGCGAGGCCGTGCTTTCGGGGGTGTCGCCGAGGGCTGACGCGAACTTCGCGTCGAGCATGTCGACGCCCCCGCTACAAGCGAGCTTTTCATGCGTAACGCCCTCGCCCTCGACCTCGGGAAGCCACCTCGACGCCGCTTCGGTCCGACCCGATACCGAGCTCTACGTTTCGTAAACGTCGCGCATCCATTCTCGGATGTAGGACACGGAAGGCAGATACCTAAACTTGAGGCACTCTGCCAGTATGTTTTTCTTGTAGTTAAGCATTCGCATAATAAGGACCTGCTCTGCAGCAGACTGCGACGGTCGTTGGGTGAATCCGCGCCAATGTCATTCTTTCGATCTCGGACGGTGGCAGAGCATCTGGCGCGCCGCGCCAGGCTTCTGGGGGCTGCGCCCGCAGCTCTTGCATGGCAGGTTTGTCGCGCCCTGGCATGTTTGGCGCGCTTGGTGGCTCGCGCGGCCGCAGTGGCGGCCTCCATTCAGGGCGCGGCCGCGGCGGCGGCGGAACGCTCGCCACTTCCCTTCCTTGAGGCGCTGCGGTGAGATACGCGCCAGGTTTCCCGTCGCAGCGGCATCGGGCTTCCCCGAACAACGGCGCCAAGTTTCCCCGACGCAACAGCTGCAGGTTTCCTCGACGCGAGCTCTGGCAGAGCCTCAACGGTTGGTGGGCGGGTGTCGCCCGCATTTCTCCAATCGGCAAGCTCCCAGACCGCTGGTGGGGATGGGCTTCCTCGTTGCCCAATGAAGGTCCGATCTACTGAGCTACCACGCCGCGTAGCTGGGGGTGGCTGTCGAGCCATGGCCGCCAGCTCTAAGGTGGTTTCCTGATGGCGCTCATGCACTGTCCGAACGAGGTTCTCCACCCCCAATGTTAGTGCGACTAATCTCAGCAACGGCCTCGCGGCGGATTCAATTCCACATTCGCAACGTTGAGGTCGCTGGCGTTGCGGACCTGGTGGCCCAGATTAGCGCTGACCCCTCCGCGCACTTCAGCCCTGCCAGGTATGGACTGAACCTTGTTTTGGAGCTCCAGGAGACGAGTCTCTTGCACTGATATCGCCTTGCCGTTGGTGGAACACAGTCCACCAGCGCTGCCCAGTCTTTCTTGGAGGGCGGCGAAGGACTTCATCATCTCCTGAATGTTGGATATGCTCTTTTTGGTTTCGCGCCGAACCTGAGCCCGCGCAGTCTCAGCACGGTCAAGTTGTTGAGCTAACTCGTTGCTGCGATTCTCCAACGTAGTAGCCCTGGTCTCGAGTGTATCATGTCTTCGCACTGCGTGCTCTTCAGCACTGATTCGCTCCAAGATGTGGTTGGCTCCTTGTGCCGTAGTTCGCTCGTCATCCTGGCGTGCCCGCGCAGTAGCAGAGGCCAGATTGCCCCGTCTTTCACGAGCCTGCGGGTCCACGATCTGAGCGTCATGCGCTTGAGATGCGCTTGCGAATTCCGAATTCGGTACAAGTTGCTCACAGTCTGGTGAGGTTCGCCTCTTGTTGTTGGTCAAACATTCTGCTTTGCCCCGACGGTGCCTGCTGTTGAAGTTCAACCATCTGCTGGCCAAGTGTCTGGAGCAGGTCGGCTCTTGAAACTGATCTTGATTTCTCAGTGGCGGCTGTTTTGGTCCATTCTCGCAACCCCGCCCTTCGTCCAGGCAGCTGTTGCCCGACTAATCGTGACGGTACCGGTTGCACTTGGTCGAATGGCAAGGGTGCCCTGGGGCTCTCGGGTGCCTTCGCTGCTGGAACATCGTAACCCTGTTGAGCGCCAGCCGAGTGCGGGACAAACCTTCTCTCTTCTGATCCCATGCGGAATATTGCCGCGACCGCGTCGGACCCCCCCGTCGCAATAGCGTCAGGCTTCCCCGCCGCAATCACGCTACCACGGGGGCGCGGTGGGACGTGTTGACCCTTGCCCGACGCACGGTTTATTGGTGCGATCTGTCCGCGCCCAACAAACTGCTAATCGCAGCTTCTGGTCTCGACGTCTCCTAACCAAGAGATTCGTCGGAGATGATCGGCTCCAAGTGCTTCTAACTCACCTGCGTCTGCCATCTCAATTAAGGCGCTTCGCGCCAGTTGCATCGCTTGCGCTGTTTCGGCTGATAACCTGGATTTGGGGATCAAATGGCCGTAAAGACAAACAACTCCGTAGTATAGTAGGCCGCGTCTCACCTGTGAAGGCGGCTGGCGTCCTCTGTAATTCGTGTGATTACCGCCAGAAATAAAGAGCAAACGACGACGACGGAGAGGGAATAGGAGAGCGGACGCGCGCGCGCGCCCGCCCCGCGACTTTTCCCAAGCTGCCTCGCGAACCCAAAGGATGCTCGAGGCGAAAACTTAAACCGAACCTCATCCTCGATCATCAGAAGGACGAGAGAGGGAAGGCAAGAAAAGGAACGGTAGAGGCCCAGGACCCGAAGGCCCCCGAAACCCAGCGGGCTTTCGCTCAAACAAATGTGCGCCAAAATCGAGGGGCAAAACACAAAAGCCCTCCAAGGCCGCCAAGCGACCCGGGGAGGCTCCCAAGAGGCCTCCAGGAGGCACCATGGAAGCTCCCAGGAGGCCCCACGAATGACCCAAGAGGCTCCCAAGAGATCTCCTCCTCCTCCTCCTCCTCCTCTTCTTCCTTCTTCTCCTCCTCCTCCTCCTCCTCCACCTCCTCCTCCTTCTCCCCCCCTCTCCTTGTCCGCACCTTTCTCCCCCCGTGTTCCCCGAAAGGTTTCCACCACGGCCCGGGGAGCACGCGGTCCAATAACTTGGCCAAGCCTTGCCCAAACGCTTGGCCACACAGGCGCACCCCGACAGGCAGCGGGGCGGCGGTGATCCGCCGCAGGCGTCTTCGACAAACTCTCGGAGCTCCGCGCGGATTCCTCGGATCGGCGCTGGGGACCCCCTGGCCGCGCCTCCGGCGCCGCCCCCGGCGCTGCGCGTGCCCAGGAGGGGCGCCCCGCGCCGATCCCCGGCGGACCTCCGAAAAAGCTGGTGCAAGTACCGCTTGCCGCTTTTCTCTCCTCTTCCTCCTCCTCCTCCTCCTCCTCCTCCTCCTCCTCCTCCTCATCCTCCGCCTCCTCCTCCTCCTCCTCCTCCTCCTCCTCCTCCTCCCCCTCCTCCTCCTCCTCCTCCTCCTCCTCCTCCTCCCCCTCCTCGTCCTCCTCCTCCTCCTCGTCCTCCTCTTTCTCCTCCTCCTTGTCCTCCTCCTCCTCCTCCTCGAATCCTGCATGCCCTTGTACGGCTCCCGCGTCTGCACCAGCGCGCCGGCCCCCTCGTGGAGCAACAGACACAAGACGCCACCCCACCCACGGCCCCACGGGCCTCAGCACATACCATGGAATGCGGCTCGGGTTTTGGCGTGGTACACGCTGCGGCCCCCGATGCGCCGTAGCGCAACATGGAGGGCCATGGGTGGGGTGGTGTCGTTTGGTTTTTGGTCGACCTCGGCCCTGGTGTAGAAATCCCGCAGCACCTTGATGGCCATCTCGACGGAGCCCTGACCATCCTTGGCGTCGGCAACGGTCTGCGCGTTGGCGGCCTTGTCCTCGCTTCGGATCTTCGTCGCCTCGGCCTGCTCGGCCAGAGTGGTCGCGATTGCATCCCCTAGCTGCGCGATCTCCTCGGCGAGCAGTTCGATGTCCGCCGTCAGCTTGTCCGACGTCGCGGACAGCTCCTCGGCCTTCGCAGCCTTGTTCTCGCGCGTCTGCTTGTTGGTGGCCAGCTCGGTGCTGCAGAAGGCGTTATGGTCTGCCTCCGCATTCGCTTCCTCCATGAGCTTTACTATGAGATCTTTGATCATCTTTTTCACTTTGCCGAAAGGATCCTCGGTGACGTGAGCTGCCATTGTGAGCAAGTACTGGCTGCCAAGCTTCTTGGCGCGCATCTGAAGGTAGGCAGCGGCGCGCGCCCGGCTGTCGCCGTCCTCGCCCACCTGCGAACGCATCTGGGCGAACGAGGCGGGCGCCTTCTGGACCAACTTCGGGAGGTACTTCTCCGCATTGCCGAGGACCTCGTCGCTGGACAAGATCTCGTGGGCTTTCCGGATGGCGTCGATCTCCTCCTTGCGCAGCACCTGGTTCTTCTCGAACTCCTCCGACTTCTGGTGGCACTCCGTAAGGGTATCCTCGAGGTTCTTCTCGTCGTCGGCCTTCGTCTTCTGGGTTACCACAAGATCCCCCTTGGCATTGGCGGCGGCCTCCAGCCGAGCGGCCTTTTCTGCAGTCTTCTGCTTTGAAGACTTGGTGTCGTATTCGATATTGTCCTCCAGGCCCTGCGACAGCGCCTCGAAGTTCGCCTTCATGTTCATCTCCTCCTTTTGCAGAGCCAGCAGCTGGTCTTGAAACTTGTGCCGCAACTTCTCCAGCATCGCCACAACACCGCCTGTTGGGAAACCACACTGTACCGATACCGCTACTCCCTGGAACTCTCCTGGGCTGCGCTCTGACAAGAACTTCGAGACGCATCTGGCCGCGGAGACGAGGGCTTCCCAGGAGGCCCCCAAGAGCGAACACGGAGCACGAGCTGCCGCATCGGCACCCTTTCCTCCGCCGAGCCCGACTGGAACTCGTAGGCGTTCGCCTCGGGCGCCTGCCGCGTCTCCAGGAAGGCCGCCAGGGCAGCCCTCGCCTTCGGGGGCAGGTACCCCGCGGCGCGCACCTGCGCCAGCGACTGCGGCACGTCCGCCTCGCGGGCCTTGAGCACCTGCACGGCCCTCTCCAGCGCGTCGATCGACTCCGAGAAGTCGGCGTGCTGCGCGTCGTAGTCTGCCGCCTCTCACGAGCGGCGACCGGATCCACATGCACACCCTCGCAGGCTGGACTCCGAGGCGTGGCCCCGTGGATACGCGGTCGCATGGGATACTCGGCGGCGAGCCGGGGGTGGAAGTGAGAAGGGGCGGGCCTTCTCAGAAGGCTCGGAAGTCCCCCGGACTTCTGGGAAGTTTTCTAAGCCTTCCCCGAAGACACAGAAAACTTCTCAGAAGCCGCAGGGACTTCTGAGATTCTGAGAAGCCCTTCTCCTTCTCACTTCCCCCCCTCGCTCGCCGCCGAGATACGCTCCGCGCGGGCCATCCGCGGACAAACACGCCCGCACGCACGGGGGGTCGCGGCCCAGGGGCCCGGCCCGCGAAGCCGTGGATGTGGAGATGTTTTCCCCGTGAGGCCTCCCAGATGGGGTCAAGGCTGAGGATCGCCCACATCGCCGATGCACCGTCGACGTCGGCGCTGTATCGTCAACGTCGGCGTGGAGAAAACCGGGCCCCACGTCGAGCCGCATCGCCGATGTGGCTCGATCCTCCGGCCCCATCTGGGAGGCCTATGAGTCCCACCCTACGAACCTCCTTTGCACGGATCTGCTTCGCCTCTGCAAGCTCCGACTCGGCCTTCGCAATGGCCGCCTCCAGGGCGCTGAGCTCTCCCGCGAGTGTCCCTGCATCGCTCTCGGCCTTAGCGATGTCCGCGGTCAGCTGCTCGATCTGCGCCGAGGCCTCCTTTGGAAGGGCAGGAAGGCAATTACCGATGCTGCTGCTCCCCGCACCTCTCCCTGGGTGCGTTCTGACCAGGATTCCGATGAAAATCCAGCCGTGGCGACGAGGGATCTCAAGGACGAGTAGCGGTACCGGTATCTTTTCCTCTTCTGATCCTTGATGCTCTTCTCCTTCTCGTCCCGCAGGGAATCGCACCATTGGTGGAACTCAGCGAACGCCACCTCTCGCTGGCGCGCCCGTGGGGGACAAAACCGAGGGGGCGGGGCTTCTCGGAATGCCCCCAGCCTTCTGAGAAGCTTCCTGAGCCTTCTCCGAAGCCGCAGTGGGCTTCTAAAGAAGGCCGGCGCGCTTCTGAGCAGCCCCACGGCTTCCCCGAGAAGGCCTGCCCCCTCTCGCTCTCCCCCCTCGGCGCGTCGCCGAACCTCCTCCTCGTGCTTGGCCGCCGCACCCTTGGCGACCATCTCGTCCAGCATGTCCATCACCTTCTGCAGCGGCGTGACCCGGGACGCCTGCCGGAGGCCCAGAGGCTGGCACCGACACCAGGATCGGCCGTGTGCCTCCACCGAGGGGAGCTGATCTCAGTCTATGTGACGGTGGTAGTACAGTCGAGGCGTTAACCTAAAGAACCCTAAATAAGGAACGAGGTCCCTATTTTCCATAAGTTGAACTTCGATTTCGCATCGAAGACCTGAGGAAAATCCAAGGCAAGCTGCGAACGAATTAAGGAGCACGGAGACCCTCCCCAACGAAAAGGGTTCCTTCTTCAGGGCCCCGACTGTAGTTGGGCTTCCTAGGTGGCCGAAAGATTGCCACCAAGACCAAAGTCTAGGATCATCCCTCCCCAGTGAGCGCAATCCCCTGCTTTAGTGTCGGTGCCCATTTCCGAGCCTCCAAGCCTGAGCGACCGCGCGGATCTGCGCCAGCAGGACGGCCACGACCGAGACGACGCCGAAGGCCATGGTGCTTCGTTTGCTGGGGCGCGCCGGGTGCAGCGAGCGCCGCCCGGGGGCAGGTCGCGCAGGCAAAGAGAGCGCTGCCTGAGCCAGAGGGGTTGCGGAAGGTGCAGCCGCGAACGGGGGCCACGAAACGCTGTGCTTGGTGGGGGGGAGGAGGAGGAGCGAGGAGGAGGAGGAGCGAGGAGGAGGAGCGAGGAGGAGGAGGAGGAGGAGCGAGGAGGAGGAGGAGGAGGAGGAGGAGGAGGAGGAGGAGGAGGAGGAGGAGGAGCGAGGAGCGAGGACAGCGGACAGCGAGGAGCGAGGAGCGAGGAGGAGGAGGAAGTGGAGGGACGGAACAGAGTAAGGGGGGGCAAGGCAGGAGGAGAAAAAGAACGGTGCCACAGGGACCTTCGGTGGAGCTCCCCATGGGGCCACGAAGCGCTGCACTGGGCGAGGGAAGCGTGCGTGGACTCCGCCACTGGGGCCTTCGGTGGAGCTCCCCATGGGGCCACGAAGCGCAGTACTGGGCGAGGGAAGCGTACGTGGACTCCGCCACTGGGGCCTTCGGTGGAGCCCCCATGGGGCCACGAGGCGCTGTACTGGGTGAGGGAAGCGTATGTGGACTCCGCCACTGGGGCCTTCGGTGGAGCTCCCCATGGGGCCACGAAGCGCTGCACTGGGTGATGGAGACGCACGTGGACGGTGCCATGACTCCTCGCGTGGCCAGCGGAGTGCGCCGAAATCGTCGATACGACTGCTCGTTCGACGTCGCACGGACGCAAATCGCAAGAGACAACTCGAAGGTCACTTGTGACTGGCTGGCGAATTGATTTCACCATCGGTGGTATCGCGCACGAGGGGGAGCTGGGAACTAAACATCATCATAACTTCCCACGGCAGCCGACGAGACGACAGCGATGTGTCTTGCATGAATTTGGGAACACGGTGGCCGGAGCGGGGTCGCTGCCAGCGATTCGACCCCCGCGAACCTCGTGGATCTCCACCGCCGCGCTGGCACGACAGCGGGGCGCCATAATGTCTCGCACCCGTCTGGTACAGTGCGGGCGCGGCCGCAAGAAACCCTCGCGAGAAACCCAGCCCTGAAAACCCGCGCACGAGGTGCACTCGAGGGGAAACCCGGAGCACCCTGAACGCCGCAGCTTCTTCCACGGCCGCGGGAAGTCACCGCGCAGCTCGCGGAGCGAAGAAACCCAGGAACCCCTCACGAAAGGCATATGGCTTCTTGATGCGCGTCCCCACTGTAAGGCGTGTGTACTTTTGTATGGTCGCCTCCCCCTCATCGCGCGCGCGCGCCAGAAAAAGACATGTAATTACAGCGAAGAGAGGCCCAGTGCCCGAAGGCTGCTCCTACGAGAGCAGGCCCACGGAGGCTGGCCGTTGCGAAAGACTGCTGCATACGTTCTCAACACGCTGGAGGTTTACAGTCAAAACCACCCGTCCTTAGTAAGGACGGGTGGTGACGCAAGACCCTTGGAGGCCGAAGTTGGATTTTTGGGGCGGGGGGCGGCCAGTGAAAACGGCGAAGGACGGGCCGCAGAGGCAAGGACTCAAGGGTAGCCTAGATGAAGGCACGCGTCCTTACTAGGCGCGTTGACTGTAGGTGAACAGAAGTCCCCAGCCTGGGCTTCCCCTGCGACGCTCTCCGCCCATCACTCCAATGGGAAGCCAGCCGTTACAACGGGGGGCCCTCGCCGGAGGCCCATGGAGGCTCCAGAACGCCAGAAACTTCTACAGTCAAAAACCCGAATAAGGACGCGCGGTAAGGACGCAAGACCCCTGGAAGCCGAAGTTGGGATTTTTGGGGCGGCGGACGACGAAAACCCCAAGGACGCAAGAGCAAGGAAGAGCAAGGACGCCAGGGTACCCTGAGCAAAGCCGCGCGTCCTTATTAGGGTTTTTGACCGTACCCTCGGTCCTCCCCAGAACTCCGACGTCTTGACTCTGTTCCCGACGTCGAGCCCCCGAGGCTGGGACCCCTCCCCCCGGACCGCTTCTTCGTGTCCTGGGGCCCCAGGCCAGGGCCCGTGGAGGCCGCAGACTGCCAAAAACCTCCCTTCGCGATCGGCTCGCGGCGAGGGAAGGGGGGGGTCGAGCCTCGAGCCTGGAGGAGGAGGAGGAGGAGGAGGAGGAGGAGGAGGAGGAGGAGGAGGAGGAGGAGGAGGAGGAGGAGGAGGAGGAGGAGGAGGGAGGAGGAGAGGGGGAGGAGGAAGGAGGAGGAGGAGGAGGGGAGGAGGGAGGAGGAGGAGGAGGAGGAGGAGGAGGAGGGAGGAGGAGGAGGAGGAGGCGGGGGCGGGGGGGCGGGCCCAGCGCCGGCGAACGCGCGCAGCCCAGGGGCTGCGGCCGCGCCCTCCGGAGAGGCGGCTCCTGGACGTCCCTGCGGGCCCGCAGGACGTGGTCCACGCCCGTGTAGTGCCAGACCGCGTTCGGGCAGCAGGAGTGGGACATGAAGGAGGAGAAGAAGTACGTGGAGTAGCCCTCCGGCCTGAGCTCTTCTTGCCCCGATTCTGAGGAGGGGGGCGGCCACGGAGCTGCACCCCGGCTCGGGCTCGACCGCTGTGCGCATCAAGAGGTGGGCAGGCAAACCGGGAACACCGCACGAGCCGACCTGCGATAGGCAAGCTCATGCACTGAACCGTGTCCTCCAGCCTGATTTGTTTTACAATGCGCAATCCAAGGCGCCGTCCAGTGTGTGTCTGTGTGTCTGTGTGTGTATGCGTGTGCGACGATTTTTGGGAACTCCTGGCCCCCCCCCCTCGTCAGGCATGGGCCCAAATTCCTTGAAAAGAAAGAATACGTGGAGTAACCCTACATACGGCCTGGGCGGGGGGAGGGCGGATACAGCAGGCACATGCGCACGTGCTGTTCGATGGCTCCCCCCTCCCTCGGGAGGAGCGCACACAAGGTCTAACACGCTCTTTTTTCAATGCTTTTTCTATGTGTTTTTCGTTTGTTTGCCTTTTCGTGCGACGAACGGCCCAAAACGGCCCAAGAAGCTCCAACGATCGTTCCAAGACGGCCCAAGAGGCCCCCCAAAAGGGCCCCGAAAGGAACGCAGAGGCCCCCAAGATGGCTCCAGAGGGCCCCAAGAGGGCCCGACAGGGCCCTGGCAGCCCTGGCAGGACCCAGAGGAGGCAACAAACATGGTTTCTTGGATTTTCGCCCCTGCGGGCATCCGACGGCCCAGGACGGCCCAAGAGGCCCCCAAATATTGCACAACGGCCGTCCAAAGAGGCCCCCAAGAGGGCCCCAAGACGGCCCAAGAGGACTCGAGGACGAGCAGAACCCCCCAAGACGGCCCAAAAGGGCCCCACGGACGGTCCAAGAGGGCCCCGAGACGCCCCAAGAGGCCTGCACGAGGCTTCCCAAGAGGACCCAAAGAGGCACAGTTTATTTAGTTCCTGTGGTTTTCAAACAAGTTTTTCTAGTTCTCGCCTCATCGGGCCAAGAACGGCCCAAAACGGCCCAAGAGGCTCCAAAGATCGTACCAAGACGGCCCAAGAGGCCCTCAAAGGGACTCGAAAACTATCCAAGATGGCCCGAAGACGGCCCGAGAGGGCCCCAAGACGGCCCAAGAGAGTCCCAAGACTGCCCCAAGAGAGACCCAAGAGGGCCCAAAGAGGTTTCCAAGAGGGCCTCAAGAGGCCCCCAAGAGAGCCCCAAGACGGCCAAATGCTTCCAAGACGCCCCAAGACGGCCCAAAAGGGCCCCGGGACGGCCCAAGAGGTTCCCAAAACAGCTGAAAAGGGTTCCAAAAAGACCCCCAAGAAGACTCAGAGACGCCAAGTAACACCATGGCTCCAAACAGCGAGCGGTGTTGCAACAATCTCTGAACACCAAGGCTCCCTGGAGCGCGGTGACGTAAAACAACTCTCAACAACAAGGCTCTCAAGAGCGAGCGGCAACGTGGAAGTCTCTGAACACCATAGCTCCCAACAGAGAGCGGTGACGCAACAAGCTCTTAACACCAAGGCTCCCCAAAACGAAGGGTGCCATGAGCCATCTCGGGCAGGTTGCTCAGCACTATTTCCGTTCCCGTGCCGGCAAAGGTCTAACGCGCCGCGCCTCGGGAACACCCAATGTGGCCTCAAGACTGTCCAAGACGCCTCCAAGATATCCCAAGAGGACCCCCAAAAGGCCTCAAGAGGCACCAATCATTGAATTCCGCTCAAGGACATTTGAATTATCTATTCTCGCGTTTGCCATTTCGGGCTTCTAGAATCTCAAGACGGTCCGAGAGGCCTCCAGACTGGCAAGACGTCCCGAGAGGGTCCTCGGACAGTCCAAGAGGCCCCCAAGCAATCAACAGATCCATCAAGAGGTCCGCAAGAGAGGCCCAAGAGTGGGAACTCGCAGGGAACCAGGAAGCCATCCACCACAAGATGCTGGCGGCGAGCAGAGGGGGGCAGGAGGGGGTTGGGAAGGCTTCGAAGAAGCAGGGGTGCTTCCAAGAAGCCCCTCCCCCCCCACCCCCCTTGTGCGCGTGGCCGAAGCTGGCCCCCGAGACCCCCAGCATGCCCCCGAGATGCCCCCTGAGAGGCCCCCGGAGGCACCCCGAAGCCCCCCAGGGACCTGAAGAGGCTCAAGGGGGCGGGCTCCTAGGCCTTCGCTTGGCCCCCGAGCCCTGCAACAGACGCGGAGGACGAGGAGAGCGACTCAGCATTAACTACCCGCAGGCAGCACGGCGTGAAGCAGCAAGCACCAAACACGAAATCGGAAGCCGCACACCTCCTCTTCTGGGGGCTGGCAGAACGGCGCAAGCCTCTTGAACAACGAATCGGATCGAACCAGCCAGAACTGACATCCGATCGGACCGATCGGACCGAAATGGCCCCTGGCAGGCGGGAGGAACGTCGGTGCCTGGCTAATTAACCACGCTACCGAAGCTCGCGATGCCTCTTTCCACTGTTCAGATCACGTCCTGGGTCGCGGAGGCGATCCCAGTCATCCCAGGACTGTAGGGTCTGTGGTCCTGCAATCAAGTCATACGGACCGAGCGGACGATGCCCTTGCACAGTGCAAACGTCGGGGTCGATCGGGCTTCCGATCCGCTCCATCGCAACTGCCTTTCTGCCGAGCTTCCTGCTCGTCCGAGTACTCAAAACAATTCAGCACCCATATCTGCGTGAGCCGCTCAATGGTGATCGGGCTCGCCGCAGGCGCCATCTCCCTGGCCAGGATGGTGGCGGCGCTCCTGGGCGAGACCACCTGGCGAGGCCGGCGCCGCGCATCCAGGCGACGTCTCGGATCCCTCCATCCTCCATCCGTCGGGCCTCCCTCTTCCCTCCCCCTCCCTCCCTCCGTCCTGATTGCCTCAGGCGTACCTCCATGCCTCCATCCTTCCCTCCATCCAGCCTGCCTCCATCCAGGACTATCCGCGCATCAACATAGCATGCGCACCTCTATCCATCCATCAATCCATCCATACATCCATCCATCATCCCGTCGCCACGTCAAGGCATACTGAATCCTCATCCGCTTCCTCCCCCTTATCCTCCTCCTTCTCCTCCTCCTAACCCACCTCCTCTTCCTCCTCCTCCTGGTCCTCCAGATCCTCCTCCTCCTCCTCCTCCTCCTCCGCCTCCTCCTCAGCAGCAGCAGCGGCATCATCATCATCATCATCATCATCATCATCATCATCATCATCATCATCATCATCATCATCATCATCATCATCATCATCATCATCAGCATTATCAGCAACATCGTAATCATAATCATCAGCATCATCCCCGATCTTCCCTCCCTCCATTTTCTCCTCCCTCGTCCTCCTCCTCCTCCTCCTCATTCCCCCCTCCTCCTCCTTATCCTCGTCGTCGTCGTCCTCCTCCTCCTCGTTCTCCCCCCTCCTCCTGCTCATCCTCGTCGTCGTCGTCCTCCTCCTCCTCCTCCTCCTCCTCGTTCTCCCCCCTCCTCCTCCTTATCCTCGTCGTCGTCGCCCTCCTCCTCCTCGTTCTCCCCCCTCCTCCTGCTCATCCTCGTCGTCGTCCTCCTCCTCCTCCTCCTCCTCCTCCTCCTCCTCCTCCCTCTTCCATCATCATCATCATCATCATCTCATCATCATCATCATCATCATCATCATCATCATCATCATCATCATCATCATCATCATCATCATCATCATCATCATCATCAATCATCAATCATCAATCAATCAGCATCATCATCATCATCATCATCATCATCATCATCATCATCATCATCATCATCATCGTCATCGTCATCGTCATCATCATCATCATCATCATCAGCAGCATCATCAGCAGCATCATCAGCATAATCAGCATCATCAGCATCATCAGCATCATCAGCATCATCACCATCATCATCATCATCACCATCATCAGCAGCAGCATCATCATCATCAGCAGCAGCGGCAGCAGCAGCAGCATCATCATCATCATCATCATCAGCATCATCATCACCATCATCATCATCATCATCATCATCATCATCAGCATCATCATCAGCATCATCATCATTATCATCATCCTCATCCTCACTTGGCGACAGGGAGTGATGTTTCAAGCGCTGCTCAACTTTGGAGGGGCAAGGCTGCCCAGCACCGTGTCAAGCTAATTACCCTCCTTGGGGGGTGGGGGGGGGGGATGAGCGCGTGCCGTCGGGATGGCAGTTTTGAAGCTCAAGTTTCTGGGCCAGGGGGGGGGGGGGGACCGAATGGCGTCGGCAGTTTCCGAGGGGTGGGTGGGGATTGGGGTGGCGAGGGCGGGCTGAGGGGGGGCGAGGTGGGGGATGAGGCGCGGGATGGAGGATCGGGGTGACGTGAGGTTGCCTGGCGGGAGTGGCCGCAGGGATGACGCTGCAAGCGGTGATGGGGCAAGGCAGGGGACCCCTGCCTGCAATTTCGCCCCTGCCCTCACAAGCCCTTTTCCATTCCCATCTTGCCCCTTTCTCGTGAACTCCAACGGCGGCGACGACGACGACGACGAAGAGGATGAGGAGGAGAAGGATGAGGAGGACGACGGCGGCGACGACGACGACGAGGACAACGATGACGGGTGAACCGGAGTGCGGCGGAACCTCCATGAGAAATTTGCCACTGGGGCACCAACAGGTGGACTAACTGCCCGCCCCATCCGCACTACCCTGAACTTCCCAGCCTTACTAGAGCCATCGACACGACCTCTTGCGGCAAGATCGCAACGCTCCCATACTGGCACCACGCAGCGGCTACTAGGCTGGGGTGCAGGTGCCAGAAGGCGCCTTGAACTGCGCCGCGCAAGCAAACTAAGAGCCAGGATGCACGTGTCTGTGCCTGACGGCGTCCACAGCGGTCCCAAGGAAGCCCCTTCGTTGTGCCATGCGGCGGCGATCAGGGTCGGGATGCACGCACCGAGAGGCACGAGCTGCAAAGGACCATGCGTCGGCGGGTAAGAACAACGTCTGCGCGTCTTGCTGCCACACAGCTGCCACCAAACTACTGTCCGCTTTCACCCCCATCCCGCACCAACAGGGAGGACGCGATCGTAGAAGAGCAGCAATGGGGAGGAGGAGGAGGAGGAGGAGGAGGAGGAGGAGGAGGAGGAGGAGGAGGAGGAGGAGGAGAGGACGAACACGTACGGCGCTGCCGATTGAAACCGAGGGCCCAATGCAACAGGAGGGTTGGGAGCCGCGTCTGGAAGTCTGCGTGCCCCCCGAGCCGCCAGAAGGGCCCCTCCAGGCAAGCCCTGGCGCATCCTGGGGCTGCCCTCGTCTGCCCTGGGCCCGCGGGGCCCTCCCGGGAGCCCCTTCGGCGCTCTCATGGTCTGCCCAGAGCCCTCTGGGGTCATCTTGGTACACGTCGTTCCTTTCTGATCGTGCTCATTGCTAAGTGCGCTCGTTTCTAACTGTTCCAGGCCCCCCTGGTGGCCAGGACGAGGCCCAGGATAGACCAAGCAGAAACGAAAGGATCTTGGCCCCCCCACAAATCAAAGAACCTTTGAAGAATCAGAAATGAACAGTGTGTAGCCTTCTGAAGCATTCTTGAACCTACCTGAGGGCCTGTTGAGGGCCTCTCGAACCTCTCGACGGGAGGCCGGTTCACGCCCCCGGGGCCTCCGACCCCAAGGTGGAGCCCAGCACGAAGACCTGCCCGAGAGCCAGACATACCGAAACTCAGCCCGGTCAAGGGCCCCACGCGACTCGGCTGCGAGCAGACATGGCCTCCCTCCCGTAGGCAGTGCGCCGCGAGCAGGATGGGAGCCGTGGGCAGTGCAGGTGGGGGGCCACGGAGCGTGCGAAGGGCGCGCCGCGAGAAGGAGGAGGCGCCGTGCGGTCGCGCCCACCGGGACCGTGGGCGGAGCCCCGTCGGGGCCACGAAGCGCGTGAGGGCTGGCCGAGACGGGGCGGGGCCGCCAGGCGGACACACCGGCTGAGAACGTCGGCGGAGCTCCGCACGGGGCCACGAAGTGCGAAGCTGGTGATCCGAAGTGAGGCGGGGCTGCCATGTGGACCCTGACACTGGGGCATTCGGTGGAGCTCCCTGTGGGGCCACGCAGCGCGTGAGCGGTGTGCTGAAATGGGGCGGGTTTGCTATGCAAGCTTGTCCACTGAGGCCTTTGGTGGAGCTCCCTCTGGGGCCGCCAAACGTATGAGAGGTGTGCCAGACTAGGACGGGGCCGCAATGCGAACTCTGCCACTGGGGCGGGCCTTCGGAGGAGCTCCCATGTGGCCGCTAAACTTACCAGGGGTGTGCCGAAATAGGGCGGGACCGCCATGCGAACTTCGCCACTGGGGCCTTCGGTGTAGACCCGTACAGGGCTACGAAACGCATGAGGGGTGTGCCGACATGGGGCGGGGCCGCCATGCGAGCTTTGTTGCTGCAACACACTGGTATTCGTTCTCCTCCTCCTCGTTGTCCTCCTCGTTATTCTCCGTGTTGTCCTCCTCCTCCTCCTCCTCCTCCTCCTCCTCCTCCTCCTCTTCCTGCTCGTCATCCTCCTCGTTCTCCCACTCCTCGTTCCTCCTCCTAGTTCCTCATCCTCGTTCTCCCCCGATCATGCTACTCATCCTCGTCGCCCTCCTCCTCACCTGGAGAATGAGGATGGCGAGGGGCAGAAGGAGAGAGGAGCAGGCTGTGTCTGCTGTGTCATGAGAGGAGGGAGGAGGGAGGAGAGAAGAGGGGGGAGCGATGCAGACAGGGAGGAGCGAGGAGGAGGGATGCATGTACCGCGTCATGAGGAGGAGGCCCGACGCACACACGGAGGAGGAGGAGGGAGGAGCGAGGGAGGGGGAGGCCCGATGCACACACGGAGGAGGAGAGGAGGGAGGAGCGACGGAAGGGGGAGGGAGACGGACGAGCCGGCCGCGCGATGGGCAGGCCGTGGGGGGGGGGGGAGCTCTACCCTGGGGGGCTCGGCGCCCAACACTTGCACGGGGTCCGCGTCCCTCGCCTCGTCCCTCCCGGGCTCATTCGATAGAGTCGGGGCGTTGACCTGAGGAGCCCTAGGTAAGGAACGAGGCCCCTGTTTTCCGGAGGCTGAGCTTCGAACTCCCATCGAAGACCTGAGGGCAGCCTCAAGCAGACGGTGAAGCAATCAAGGAGCACGGAGCCCCTCCCCAACGAAAAGGGTTCCTTCTTCAGCGCCCCGACTCTACTGGAGGACCAAGAAGACTGGGTTGCCCGCACTGCTGACGTGCTCAGACGCCGCGCGCCACAAAGATATTTTGACGATCGCAGCCGCTGTCTTGAATGAAATGCACTGGGCTGCCCGCACAGTTGACGTGTTCACCTCGCAAGGAAACACCATTTTGTGTCTTCCCACCGATGTCTGGAAAAAACCGCACGCCGCCGTGATATCGCTTACGCCGCCCAGGAAGTCAGGGTCCCCGGGCTCGGCTCACGGGGCAGAAGAAGGGGTACATGGGGTATGGGAGGGGGGATGCAGTTGCAGGAAGCGCCTTGTAAACACCCTTGCAGGCGGAACAAAAACGTCTCGGGTGAGCTGGCCCGAAGGCGCTACGCGATGCAACAACAGGCTGAGGCCGAATATTGCGCGGAAAATGAAGGAAGTGCGCCGAAGCCGAAGTGCGCAGAAACGGCAGGCGCCCATCATGCACCTACAGACAAATGAAGGCAGATGGCAGCATTAGGGCGATTCTGTCTGTGGTGACATGCATTCGGCGGCGAGCCCGGGGGGAAGCGAGAAGGAGCAGGCCTTCTCAGAGGGCCCGGAAGTCCGCGGGCCTCCTGAGAAATGTTCTCTAGG